ATTTTTTTATGAAACATGAGTTTTGGAGCCTTTTTAAAGAATTAATCAGCATAATACATGTATGTACATGTACATGCACATAAAATTCTAATATTATTATTTTCTATTCATTTTTATACATGTACTGTAGGCAAGAGAGCTATTTGATGATAAACCTCATCAACACACCACTAATGATACTACACCAACTGTCCCCAGAAAAGCCACACCCACCATCACCATGGCAACCAATAATCATCACAAAAGTGCTGACTCATCAAAATCATCGATTACGGCACCTAAAATTATGATGCCTAAGAGTACTGTTACTATAGCAACCAACACTGGGCGGAGTCTACTTTTTAATGACACGCCCACTTGTAATTGAAGCATTCAAGTGTTTAACTTTAATAATAAAGGTTCTGGCGTTTCCATAGCATCACAAGCCGGTTCTGGGTGTGGCTCATTACTCTCTCCTCCTCGCTCTTTAAGGACGCTTTCCGATACTGTTTCCATGGCAACAGGAGCTGATAGGTCAATAAGTTTTGGTAGCTTCAGTGATGGGTTTGGGGGCGTGGCTTCTAGTTGCTTTGACGACAGCAAATGTGATGCTTTTGTGGAGTAAGAACACGCTACAATGTGCATGTACATATAAATAATTTATTATTTATTATTATTAATACATGTACATGTAACACTGTTGCTATTGTTTTGTTGTTTTTATAGAGACGTATACAAAGTTTTTTGGATGCTTCTCCTCCTCCTTTGACTCCACCCACTTCATCATTGACTGACAGGAAATACACTGATACTTCATTACTGCCGTTTCCTAAAATACAGTAAGTGCAGTACATATGCTTAACAGCATTTTCTGATCCATATGTGTGCATATACATGTACATGTACGTGTACTTATGTTGCATTGAAAGTTTGAATTGATTCTCATTTTTACGAATTTTTAAAGTTACTCAAAAATCAGATCAAAGCCCCTGTACTATGTATAGTACATGGTGAATTGGATTTTTAAAGAAATTTTGAAGTTTCTTAAAAGCCTGTCATATACATTATACATGTCATGAAAAAAATGTAAATCAGGAATTTTGGGTTGACTCTTGTTTACTAGCTTCACTCACACCTTTCCTCTCCTCTCTTGTGTCCAGGTGTCCTACTGATGTCTCTTCTATCCAATCCACTGACACTACTATTGATGACCAGTGGAACATTGCTGATAGCATATCACAGGAATACCTAACCAAGAACATTGTACGACCGCCACCACAGCTCCTCCCTCCTCCTCCTCCTCTCTCTCATGTCCTGTAGTATAATCTGTTTATGTAGTTTGTTATTTCTTGAGTGTTTAATGTATTTTATCAGATATTACATGTACTGTACATTACATGTATAATACATGTACGTATTTATGAGACGTTACATGTATTTGTAATCCAGAGCTTCTTTTATGTCGAAAAGTCTAACAGTTGACAACAGCACAATCAAGTTTCAAATATGGGATGCAGCTGGACAGGAGAGAGTAAGTCACACAATAAATATATTTTATTTATTATTTTTATTCTTTTTTATCTCTTCTAATTAGTATCGGTCACTATTACCAATGTATTACAGAAATGCAGCAGCAGCCATTGTTGTGTATGATATAACGAATGAAGTAAGAATAACAATAATAATTACTGTATAGCAGAAAATTTTGTGTCTCAAAATTTTCATGGATCTGTCTAAAGATCAATTTCGTGGCTTTAATTTTTGTGGTTTTCTACTTTTTGGTAACAGATTTTATTTTCATGAATTTTGTAAAAAATGTGAAACCCACGAAAATTTTGGGCCACGAAAATTTCCCACTATACAGCATTTATGTAGGCATATATTGTTATTATTATTATTTATTGTTGTTGTTGTTGTTATTATTATTGTTGTTGTTGTTATTATTAACATTATTATTATTATTATTATTACCGTATGGCTAGAAAATTTCGAGGGCATAAATTTTCGTGTTTTAGTGAAAAGCTCTTAATTCTTTAATTTCGAGGGAGTTAAATTTCGCGTTTTTGCACGTGCACTTGCATTATTGCTGCGCATGCGCAGTGAGCGTTTCCATGGTATTAATTTTCGTGGTTAAGAAGTTACCCACGAAATCCGCGAAATTAAATACCCCACGGAATTTTCTAGCCATACTTTATACATTGTTGTACATGTAGGGATCATTCACAGTGTTACAGGATTGGATAGCAGAACTACACAGACTAGGTCCACCTAATATTGTATTAGCAATTGCTGGAAATAAATGTGACCTTGAAGATAAAAGAGAAGTATGACCAGTATAATTGTATGTGTACATAAGAGCATTGAAATGTAATAAAAATTTTGAGGTGATTTCAGAGCCATTTTTCCAAAAAAACCATAGGCTATAGTCTTGGATATTTTTCAAAAATTGGCCGTTTTAAAAAATGGCCATAACTTGGAAAATTGAAGTCGGAATCAACGCAAACTTTATACACAGCATATAAGGACATCAATATGTATCAGAAAATGTAATAAATCCTCTCTCTCTCTCCCTCTCTCTACTACACTCTCCTTTTATCTCCTCTCCTTTCTCTCCCTTCTCCTCTCCTCTCAGATTCCAGCTGAACAAGGTCAGACTTATGCATCAGAAGTTAATGCCATATTTGGAGAGACTAGTGCCCTCACTGCTAGGAATGTTGAGGAAATGTTCATTGAAATAAGTGAGTAGCTACTAATGATGTACTGTAGTATGTACTATTGTAACATAATCTCTCTCTCTCTTGTCTCATAGCTCGTAAGTTACCACCAGATTGTTTAACTAGTTTACCAGTTGGTGCCTCTCTCTTAAGACAGACTGATACACCACGTGCTAAGGGAGGATGCTGTGGAGGAGGGGGAGGGGACAAAGGACCATCATAATAGTTATAATAAGATAATAAATTAATGATTATTATTATTATTATTATTATTATTATTATTATTTTAATAACAACTGACACATGTACTGCTTGCCCAATAAGCTGGTTGTACTATTCTCTTCTATTTTATTTTAATTGTCTTTGATTGCAATAATAATTTATTATTAAAATGGGTGGACGCAATTATTATTATTATTATTTTTTTTTTTAATTACTTGTTTTTGTACATGTTTATCATAAATCACTTTGTTAATTATTCTGTGTTTTAATTAATAATTATTAAATAATTGATCAGTCAGCATCATCAATAAAAGCAAAATACAATTATTATTAATAATTAATTAATCACATAAATATTACTCTATCTTTTATAATATTATAGTCATGGTATGTTGTGCATGTGTCTTTGTCTTTCATATCTAAATAGAGCTTTATACTTTTATTGATTGTTAACGATTGAAGAATTATTAATATTCCATCAGATGATATTGAAGTGCCTGTTATTTGTAATCTAGTTAATGTTGAATTGTTGATAATTAGTTCAGAAAGAGACTGAGCACTAACTGAAGTAATATGAGGATTATTAAAGAAGACTAATCCTAAAAGTGTGTTATTGTGTGTTTGTAGTACATTTGTAATATCAGCAACTGCTTTGTCATCAACGGAACAGGTAGTAAGATAAAAATCTAATAATGATTTATTATTAGCCAGTAAGTTACATAAGGATGAGATGCAGTCCTGTGTTAGTTGAGTGTCTTGTATTGTCAAGTATTCCACCTTTTCATTTTGTAATAAAACTGGCAACAGATCACACACAATATCAGGAGATGATTCCTTGATGACAATGTCTCTATGTTTGTATGTTAATAGAGAAACTACTTCTTGACATTGTATTAAAGATGGAGAGGTCAGTTGAACACCATCATCATACCACCTAATTGCTTTAGGTTTTCCTGAATACATAAACAATTATAATTAATTACTGCATTATCAAGTATAATTCTCTACTATCACATTTTTAACCACTAAGGCAAAAAGCACTTCTATAGCTGACTATTTTTGTGGATTTTTATTTTAGAAAAATTTGCGTTTTGCACAAAATTAATTGCAGATTGAAATTGCAGATCATGGACAATATCTAATACCCTCAAAATACTCTATAGATTATTAGTACATATAAATATTATCTTACCATGTCCTTTTTTTCTAAGTTGATCTAGCAGAACTGAATCTTGTTTAATTAATGATAAAAAGAGACTTGCTCTCTCAACGTTGCTCCTCATCTTAATTTCCTTGATTTTAGGTATGTCAACATTTTCTGTCATTGCATAATGAAATAGTTCAAGTGATTCCAATGTTGACAGTTCACTCTCTTCATCTTTTTTAATGTCACTAATATGAACACGTCCCTCTTGATCAGTATCTAATGATCTTGCTAGCCACCATCCATTAGTACGCTCTTCCTTGATCTCAAGTTTCTCTCCTTTCTTGATTGAAAGCTGATTACTATTCCTTGCCTCCCAGTCTCTAATAACTACATAAACTGGTCCTTTTGGTGGATCTATTGATTGTGTAGACTGATCCTTTCCTAAAATACCAGTACTAGTCATTATGTTAATATAATGTAATACATACTAAGAGCAATTGAAGTTTCTTTCAGTTGTTGTATATTCATTAATGATATCTTTTCCTGTAACTGTTCTATCTCCTTTTCTCTTTCAATTAATGTTTTCTCTACTCCTAGTCATGAATAATAGTGATTGTCACAAATCAAAAATTGGTCACTAATTTAAAAAAACATTAAAAATAATTATTTTATCAATAATTTGTGTATTATTTAATTGCAAGTAAGAAGGACCAGTATTAGTATTGAGTATATACAATCATCCTCCTACTATAACAAATTAATGTACAAGCAATGATACTCTAAACACAGCTGCACTCTATTCTCATTATACAGTATTAAGTATGTCTGTATATATACCTGTTTTGCTTTGAAGAGATGATCGTAAATGATCTATTTCCATTTGCATTGCTTTTGTCATCTTCTTTTTACTCTCTTCCTTCTCAGACTCTAAATAATAAAAATGAACCAATTAAATTATTAGCAACAACAATTCAGCTACATGATGTATTTATTCAGAATTCATGCACATGACAATATTCATAGATACCATGTCTCAAAACATGAATGTCATTATACCTGATGATTGTATTGATGACTTATTGCTTTCATCAACTTTTCTACCTTCATATGAGATACCTTTAAATTATCAATAATTATAATTAATAATAATTAATGTATAGTTGCAGCAAAGATCAAAGGCCTAACAGTTGTGATAAAACCCACAGAACACTCCCACCAAT